CATAACCTTCCCCAATATCATCAAAAGGCTCTTTTACTTGAATTGATGAATTAATTAGCAGTTGGTTGTTAGTTCATGTAATAGTAATAGACATTGATCTAATGGCAACTGGAAGCTACAGGGTTGCAACTTCTGCCCAACTCGCAGGTTCGACGGGTGGCTTGGGAGCTTCTTTGTCCGCATGCGCAACACTGGCAGCCCAGTCCTTACAGCCTCCCACCAGAATTTAGCGCCTGGCCGTGTACCCAGTAACCTCTACTCTTACCTTGAGTACACAAACCCTAGAAAAATGGAGGTACACCCTTTACAAAAAAAAAAAAAAAGTCTACTTGATAAAAACATTTGAAAACTTAGTTTGGCACGGCAGCACACAGCTGTTATCCCACCACTCTGGAGGCTGACGCAGGAGGATTGCCATGAATTTGAGGCCAGCCTGGGCTACAAAGTAAGTATAAGGCCAGTCCAAACTCAGCAAGATCCTGTCTCAACAAACAAACAAACAAACATACATACAAAAATAAAAACAAAACAGTAAAAAGAGGAGGGAGGAGAATCAAGAATACAAAGTGTTGAGAAGATGCGGCACCCCTGGAAATCGTAGGAAGCACATGATTTGGCCCCCTTGGAAAGTAGCACTTGTATGTTGTCATTCTTCCCTGCAAGGTGATGGTAACGGGGTGGGGCCTTTTCCAGTGTAGTTGACGAGGACAGAGCCCTCATAAATGGGATTTATGTCCTTATTAAAAAAAATAGGCTTTGCAGACCTCGTTCATCCTTTCCACCTTGTGAAGACACAGGTAGAAGTCGCACTCTGTGAACTAAAGTATGAGGCCCTTGTCACACAGTGACTCTGCCTTAGTCTTGGGCTTCTGGACTCTAGAACTGTGAGCGAGATTTCTGTTGTCTACAAGCTTCTTGGTATGTGCTGTGTATCAGTTGTGCAGTGTAAATTTGTTCAAATGGATCAGGACAAACAGTTTTATTCAAAAATCCTCAAAAACTAAACAATCCAAATGTTCATCACCTGAGAAATCAAAAATTGTATAGCCACCCATCCATAATTTATTTTATTTTAATTTTTAAACTCTTCATTTATTATTATTAATGTATTTGGTACAGGGTCTCACGAGGCAGCTTGGACTCACAGTGATCCTCCTGTTTTTAGCCTCCCCATCACTGGGATTTCAGGCATGTGCCACCACACCCAGACTCAGTGGCTGGCTCAGTGTGCTCAGGGGTGGGTGGGGTGGGATGGGGTGGGGCCAGGGATTGAACCCCACTCCCTGCTCTTGCCCAAGCAGGCACTTAGTCCATTGAGCTATCTCACCAGCTCTGGTTAATTCATTATATATCTTGATATTAATACTCTGTTGGAAGAGTAGCAAAGATTTTCTTCCATTTTGTTCTTTCTCTTCACTTTGTTGTTTCTCTTGCTTTTTAATTTGATATAGTCCTCTTTGTTCATTCTTGCTGTTATTTCCTGTGCTTTTGGAGTCCTATTTGGGAAGTCTTTGCCTGCAGCTGTGACTTTAAGTGTTGCTCCTGTGGGTTTTTTAAGCAGTTTCAAAGTTTTAGGTCTTATACCTAGGTCCGTTATCTGTTTTAAATTGGCTTTTGTACAGTTTATCCTAAACTTTTGAGTTTCCATATGAATTTTGGGATTTTTTTTCAAGTTTATGAAGAATATCATTAGATTTTTTTTTTTTTTAGGAACTGGGGATTGAACTCAGGCCCTTGCGCTTGCCAGGGAAGCGCTTATTCCACTGAGCCATCTCCCCGGCTCACATCATTAGGATTTTGATGGAAATTGCATTGACTGTGTAGATTGCTTTTGGTAATATAATCATTTTGAGGACATTAATTCTGCCAGTTTATGAACATGGGAGGTATTTCCTTCTTCCAGTGTCTTCTTCAATTTCTTTTCCTAGTATTCAGAAGTTTTTGTTTTTATTTATTTATTTTTTGCTGTACTGGGGATTGAACTCAGGACTCTGCGCTTTCCAGGCAAGCACTTATTCTACTAAACTATCTCCCTGGGCCCCGGAAGTTTTTATTGTGGATGTTTTTCACCTTCTTGGTTAAATTGATCTTGGGTATTATTTCTGAAGCTGTTGTGAGTAGAATCTTTTTCTGATTTTGTGATCAACTGGTACTTTATGGACATAGGGTAAAGCTAGTGATTTTTAGTGTTTACTTTGTATCATACTCCTTTTCTGCATTCATTTATTAACCCTACAAGTCTTTTGGTGGTTTATTTAGGGTTTTTAAAAAATATACAATCATATCATGTGCAAAAAAGGAAAATTTGGCTGTTTCTTTTCCCACTTGTATCCTTTTAATTTTTTCTCTTTGCTAATTTCTGTAGTGAAAATTTCAAGAATTATATTGAATAAAAGTGATGAAACTAGCCATATATGCTTGGTGTCATTTGAGATGAATGTTTTTAATTTTTCCACATTCAGAATGATATTGATAAAAAAGAATGATATTGGTTGTGGATTTCTTGTTTATAGCTTTTACTGTATTAAGGAATGATCCTTTCTTAGTTTCTTTAGGTTTTTTTTTTTCTTTAGAGTTTTTATTTATTTATTTATTTATTTTTTAAATTTTTATTTATTTATTTATTTATATTTGTGTGTGTGTGTGGCC